AAAAAGGTGAATATACTTTGCCTTGAAGGAGGGATGGGCAATATTGACCTTGCTGCCTGACACTGGCATTTGCCAGCATCAGGTTGCATATGTCTGCATTTGCAGATGAGGATGCACTATCCCTGCATCAGTCTCTGCTAGTCATAGGGATGACAATGTGCTCGGCAAGAAAAAAGCAGAGATCACCATCCAGCAGCCCCTCTGGGAAGAGGTATGCACTAGAGGGGAGGGAAGGAAAGGGAAGAACAAATGGATAGACATGTGTACTGGGTGTGGGCAGTCTGCATGCAAAAGAGATGGCAGAGACAGTCTTCAAAAGCCATGTGCTTTTCGGCTTGAAGGACAGATGGCATGCTGCTGTAGTAGACCCAAACCTCCTCTGCTGCTTGCTTCTCACAGTAGAATTTGAGGTAGTAGGTCATCCTGCATATCCTGCAGTGCAAGGATATGAGGATGATGGGGATTGCGCCCTGGGCCAGCATGTACAATGTGGCAAAGTGCTGGTTGCAAAGGCTCAACACTGCATGCATGCCAGTGCAAACATGGTGGGGACAGGCATCCCTAAGGCATATTCAGGTCAGGGGGTAGAAATGTTTGATGCCTAGTAGTATATAGATGAATGGGAGATAAGGGGAATGAAAGGAGGAGCTCACCAAGGTTGTATTTCTGCACAAAGTGTGCAAAGAAAGGGAGGGGATCTACCAGAGGGCCAGTAGGACATGTAGGATCCCTGTCAGGTGTCCAAGCAGTCCACTGAAAAGCTTGCCAGAGGACAGGAATGTGCCCTGGTGGGAGCCCAAGCAAATCAGAGAGGAAAGCTGTGACCATGTTTGGTATCACAGCTGGGGGAGTGTTGAGGTGTTCAATGCCAGGGATTTCTTGCCAGGCAATGTGCATTTGGAGGTGCTGGCAGAGGATGATGAAGAGGAGGGCTTGCTGGACAGTGAGTTGTGGCAAGGACTCATGTGCTGCCGAAAGCGGGCAAATGAGGTCAAGGAGTAACATGGTGGGTGGGGGAGTTGGTATCAGGAGAGGAGGGGAGGGGAGTTGAGGGAGGGAGGAGTCAACAAGGGGCAGTGGATTGGCAGTGAGCTCAGCTGGTTGGATGATGATGAGCATGACTGGTGCCATTCATCAGGTATAGTAGATAACCAGTGACAATGTACATAATGTAGGAGTACAATAGAATAATAAGTAAGATATGTACAGTAAGCAAAAGACACTGCCATGTACCCCATCCAGAGTCCAGGGTCCAGAGTCCAGAGGACCCTGCCCCAAAACTCGTATGTACTGTAGCGTTTTCCAAGGTACAGCCACAAGTGAATAGGACGTTTACGTTTCATTGATGTTGTACACGCGTCTCATGAATAGACAGACCACCACAATCACCACTATATAGTCGGTCTATCTCAAGTCAGCTCATACTGAATTGTCCGTTCTTATAATAGGGGCAGGGCAGTGTTCTCATGTTTCGGCCTCCTGAAAGACACTGGCACGTCCGCAGCTTTACCTTACTCGTATTATGTGCTGTTTCTATGTCCTCGCCTACGAAGGCCGCCTCGGCTGGCCGCCTAAATCTATTCGGTTCTGTCAGGAAACTCCACGCTTTGGACAGGTTTTCTTTTTGCTGTCTGGTTAAAAGGGCGACTTTGGTGCCACGTTCAGATCAAAGGACGGAGCCCTCTTGAATCGCCTGCTCGTCCCCTTTATCCTCGACTAATATGTTATTCTCCCTTACTACGCTGTTGTTCGCCGCCAGCATCAGCGCCCAGCTGACGCCTTCAGGAGCTCACAACCAGCCTACGCACAACCCGCCTGAGCACAACCCGCCTGAGCACAACCCGCCTGGGCACAACCAGCCTGTGCACGGACAGCCTACGCACAACCAGCCTACGTCCGGACAGGGTACGCTCGTGACGACCACCGAGGGGATCGTGCAGGGTTCTTTGGTAACGTCAACTGTCCGACAGTGGCTCGGTATCCCGTTCGCCGCCCCTCCCACCGGCACGCAGCGCTTTGGTAGACCTCAGCCGCCGCTGGCCCATAACGCCACCTTTACGGCCACTCAATTTGGAAACTCCTGTTTCGCAACTTTGACTGAGTTCCTGGTGCTGGAGGGAATTTTTGCTCAGCAGGAGAGCCTCAAGTACGATGAAGACTGTTTGAATTTGAACATCTGGGCACCTGCGACGAATCGGCCCCAGGGAGGGGCAGTCATGATCTGGATATATGGGGGTGGTGATATCTATGGCTCGGTGAGCACCTGCACGACAAAGGCGAGAAATAATCTAACGCTGAGCAGAGCGACACTCCCCTGTGGAACGGAGCAACTTTTGTTGAGAATCATGATGACTTGGTGATTGTGTCGTTCAACTATCGGTACGCCTAATTTGCGTAGCGGTCAGCGCATTACTTATCCTGTCACAACTCGGTAGATCGAACATTTTCGGCTTCCCCGGCGCCCCTCAACAGACCGCTAACCTTGGGCTACTGGACCGCGACGCCGCTATCCAATGGGTGCACGCGAATATCGCTGCCTTTGGAGGGGACCCTAATAGGATAACCCTCTTCGGCAACAGTGCGGGTTCGATGGCCGCAGATGCGTACGCATTCAGCCATCCAAATGATACCATTGTCAAAGGTTTGACAGCCTCCGTTCTACCAGCTTAGTACCGAACTGAAATTCTCGCAGGAATTATTCTTCAATCTGGAACGTAAGAAAATCAGCGGTGGCATGTGATTGAGTGGTTGAGTGATGATACAGAGTTCAACTTACCCCTATTCTCGAACTTGGGGCTGTCTCCCCTACCAGTGCCAACTCCTCTTGGAATACAGTTGCTACCGCCGTGGGGTGTGGGAGCAGTAAGTTTCCTTGTGGAAAACTAGCTTTATGCTGCTGATTCGGTGCATAGCCACGGATGCCACCCAGTTCGCATGTATGCAGGCCGTCCCTATGCTGACTCTCCTGAACGAGACTATAGTCAGCAGGCAAGTCTTCGCACCTTTCCCTGATGGTATGTGCCACTTTCATCCAGTGCCCCTGGATCTCAAAGGACCCTAAAGAGGAGACCTTATTCTCCGACGTTTCAACACGCTCGGCAAACGGGGAGTTCTTGAAGGTGCCACTCCTCATTGGGACCAATCTCAATGAGGGAGATATCTTCGTCCTTGAATTTGAAGAAGAGCTCTTGGGAAGTGAGCTTGCCCTGGCAACGACGTTGTTCAGCGATCTTATTACCGAGGTATGTGTTCTTTGCACCCGTGAGCTGGTGTTCTGATGTTCCTGCTCTCCTTTGCTTGCAGATCGTCTTCCTCTGCCCTGCAGTTCAAGCGGCAGGTGACCGTCTTGCTGCAGCTGTCCCGACGTGGCGTTATGTCTATGAGGGCGTCTTCCCCGATATTAACAACAACACTGCCGAGCTCCGTTCGTATCACACTGCAGAGATTCCGAGTGTTTTCGGGACTTTCCGTCAGTCGACCTTCAACTTTCCACCCACTGCGTCAGTATCCGCCTTTTGCTCATCCTACCTGTGATACTAAGCGGGAATATGATATAGAAACGAGATCGCCCTTTCAGCTTATATGCAATCGGCATGGGTAGCCTTCGCGCGAAACCCTGTCAGTGGACTCACCTCCTTTGGTTGGCCGAACTTCTCTACTAGTTTGCTCACCCCTAGCATCGCGGCACTCGGAAACAGCAAAAATCCTGCTGGCGTCACGTTCTCCCCTCCTATCGAGTTTGACGTGGGTTGCAATGTAGTGGAGGAGGTAGAACCTGTCATCCTCAGCCTTTTCAGCACCCTAGGAAGCATCCTCTGATGATTCACTAAATCCGCGATAATCCGATGGATATGATTTTCCATCTATTATCATAGAATAGCTAGCCATGCGCTGTGTGATCCTATTTTGGCCTAATGTTAAGATGGATGTAGTATAATCAAGTCCGTCTACTAGAATGCCGGCCACCCTAACCCTTCGAACCCCTTCCCTCTCCGCGCATACCTCTCGTCAGGCTCAATAATAGGCTTTCAATCCTCGCCTGCCTCTCCTGCAACTCTCTCACTTCGTCCGCAAGCTTCGTGACCGGAAGCACCCTCATAGCCTCCACGGTTCGTTCCATCCTCTTGCTGGCCTCAATAAGCGCGTTCGCATCTAGCACGCCTCTTCGATCGTCGCTTTCAACAGAGCTACCACGATTGAAGAGTTTGGCTAGGGGAGAGTACGCAGTGCCCGTCTGAGACGGGACCCGTCGGCGGCCACGATCAGGTGCAGGAGAAGGTGATCGAGTCGATGGTGTGCGAAGCAAGGACGGGAAAGGGGCGGATGGCTGTAGTGGGAAAGTAGGTGACTTGGGTGTTTCAGGATTGGGGGAAGGAACCCGAATGATCGGGATGTCCTCGGGGTGGTCATCTTCCTCATCGTCCGAAGATATGACCTCTCCGGGTGGTGCCACGACCTGGAAAACAGCCTTCAAAAGATCGTTGTTGTTGGATCCGATGAATGCCCTAGCAACACTGAGTCAATGATCCTGTCCCACTCATACTCAGTGGAGTACCGCACTCAACGAAAGCAATTTTCTTGAAATGTCTAGGAAGAAAGACGTTCTTCCACCCGCTAGTTCTACGACTTTCCAAGAAGCTTGATCGAGGCGCAAAATAACGCTCGTAGACAGCAATGGTGACGAGAATATGCAGTGCCTGAACGGGATCAGCATAGGATAATAATAAATATCCCGCACGAACAGTAACACGAATTAGAAATACGTTGATAGTATGCAGAGCACGGGGGGATAAGAGGTGTGATAGAGGCCAAAGAACGAAATATGCAAGAAGGTTGAATGGTGGTTGATAAGAGAATAGTGCGTCAGATTTAACGCTGTGATGCTGGGTTAGCCACAGTCTTCGCTCTAGATAGCACTTTATTTACCCTTCCAATGTGGAGATGGCAAACTGAAACAGAAACTCCTCGGTGGCATACTGAAATAGACGATCAGGGTGGCGATATTACACTCAAGAAGCCAGAGGCCCACCTCGTTAAGACGTGCAAATGTATTTGACAGGATAGAAATTAGAACTGATAACATTCATCAGTATGCGGACATGTGACAGATATTGGTTGCGCTGACTTGTGGAGATAAGACCAACAGATGCAGCGAAAATGACCTGTCATTGTATCAGCGCACCAGGCAGTAGACAACCTGATTGTTGTATTACCATAAGAACGGGCCCAATGATCGGGTGGAAGCTCTCCGCTTGGGAAAAGCTCAAGAAAGTGTTGCCAAACCATACCTGAACCATGAGCCACGCAATCTGTGATAGGCGCCACTTGTGGTCGCCGAGCCGCCACAAAGTGAAAAGTAGGCCCGAGAAACAGATCATGCAAATGGAGATAAAGAACACATATTCTTTGATCATGCTTCGGAGAGCGCTACGAGGGGACGTGAGAATGCAGGGAACGTTAAGCAGATGATAGCATACAGGATGATCACGCTGTTTGCAACCAGGAAGAAAGCCACGCTGGGAAGGCGGTTAGCATGCTGCTTGTTTGCATAGGAACGCTCGGTACCGGGGAAACAACACGACACAGCTACATGCCAGTACGTCAAAAGCGGTGTCTGCCGCCTGATCGTCGTGCAGCCACAGACTTCTGACACGAAATCCAACGTATACTAGGAACATCAGAACCCAAGTAAGATCAAACGTGTTCCACATCTAGAAATGTTCAGGTTTCAGTTCAGAAGTCGTCGTCATGTTCCTTACGTTAGCGGCATATATCTTCCATCCATGTTCCTGCGAGGAGGCATATTCGTCCAATACCATTCCAAATGCGAATATAACGAATATGGCCTCATAAATGTTAATGTGCTGCAGGTTTCGATCTGTTATGCGTAAGTCGCGTACAAAGGGTTGCCTGATGTTGCTTACTGGCAAGACAAAGACATAACAGTCCAAGCAGGAGGACATAGCTGAGGCATCTCAGTCAGGTTTCAAGCAATCTTCGGAAGGACACACTTGAGAAACTCCAACAGTGCCCGGTATCTTGGCACTCGGAGCCGATAATGATCCAGGAACGGTGCGACCCGCGCATCGTAGATTTGGATGAAACGCGTCTTGTAGTTGTCTGCTACCAAAGAGCGATCGGACGAAGAAGAATAAAGAACTCTCCCTGACCATATCTCATTCACCACACCCTGCACGAGTGGAGAAGACATGAAGAATTTGGCTTGGGAGAAGATGCCCATCTGTTCATGTATCGTCAGTCACGCGCAGGGTTGAAACACACATAGGGAGCATACCTCCAAGGCATTCATTGGTTCCTCGAGTTCTTGAGGTTTCCCACCGACCGCCAGTCCGATCTGTGCCAGAGCCGGGACGGATGCTCCTTGGAGCACGCTCCAGCTAGCTGTGAGGGCGGAGGCCAGCTCCATCGGGCGATGGGAGAGCCCGCGAACGAGTTTGGTCGCTAATAGCTCGCATAATGCCGCTCGAGAGGAGTTCACACCTGCATAGGCGAGATCCGATTCGGACAGGGTCACGAAATGCCATCGGACAAGGAGGAAACAGTAGACTGTAGGGTAGGTTAATGTATCAGAAAGTGGAAAAGCGGTGCCGGACGAACTTATGGCCGAATTGTTCAGCTGCTCATACTTGAACACGAGCGGGCGCACAATTGCAAAGTTGACATCAGGCGCGTTTAATTGTCTATATTAATGAGATGATTAATGGATTCATTGGATGAGGTGATTGTACACACGTCCAGGAAAGTGCTGCATCTGCCTCACCAGCGTCCGGGTGAGTGCAAGTTCATTCGTCCATGGGGCATGTCTCACCAATACTTTCCTAAACCTCGCATAAATATTAACCATTCACGATGAAACGTATGCCTCGTGCCTCGATGTCCTTTCTGATTCTTTGCAACAGCGGGAAGACCTGGATCGCGCCCCGTTCCTCAGGCTCTATAGCTATCGGTGACCCTAGCAAGGGGATGTTCGCATCCTCGAGGTCTTCGCTGCTTCTCATCCTGGTAAATAACCTCCAATGGGTTCCAAAGAACGATCTGATGTAAAGCTGTGTAACAAGTATACCAATAGTAAAATACGGGGTAGAGAGCCCTTAAGGACGACAACCGTTCTCAACGGGACGCGTTAGGGTCCCCACGTCATAGCCGGCCCGAACTGAATCGGCAATAGGCGAACTTACAAACGTCCATGTCAAACACTGGGAAAGGGGCCGTGCTGCGCCGGCAAGACCCTAGCTCTCGTGCGGTAGTCTAGTTATCCGCTCCACGCTCCTGGGCAATGCACGTGACTCAGGGCTTGGTGAGGAGGCGAGGGGATGTCAATGTATATGCTGTCATTGTTCTCTCTCTTCAATCGCGCTCTTTGATAATGAATCGTGCTCCTGTTGACCCGACGAAGCCTCTGACAAAGGGTGCGTGTGCTATGGTAATGCAAGGATGGCCGGACCACTTCAGCGGTGTTCTGCAGATTGTTGGCTGTGAAGAGTTGTTGCTCGCCACTGGCACATCGTTCTATCCTCCTCGGTGGATGTGAGTTGGCTCTTGCATTCGGTATGAAGGCACGTGTTGACATGGAGGTGAACAAGGTTTCCTGTGAGCAACGTGGTCGCCACGGTGCGCGTTTTTTGTGGCAAGGTGATGACGGAGAACTTGCAAATGTTTGTGCCCGGTGTAGTTGTGCAGGTGGATGGTGTAGAGCAGTCTTTTGTACGCCACAGGAAAGTCAGGTACGCACGGTTTGTGGAAGGATATGGTGTCGGCTAACGGTGTGAGCAGTGTGGTTATATTCGACAACATGCGCTTTTTGAGGATGTCTCCTATGCCAAATCCTATCCCGAAACGTCTGAAGTTGGGGTACGAGGAGAACCAAGGCGCACTCGGCTCGAACTTGCACCTTGTATTCGGCTTCCCCCATCAAACTGCGCCGGATTACCCCGGAGGGCATGCCAATATGTTGAGGCAAGCCATTGAAGTGTGCAAGGTGCCTACGCTCGGCGAACAGATCATCAAGCACTCCAAGCTGCACGAGGCGCCAAATTTTGGTTACCCATGCCATGATACGAGGAAGGATGTGAGATGGCTGCAGCCTGGCCCACCTTTGCGCATCACGATCAGGGATATTGCAAGGACGGGTGGGAGAGAGTAAGTGCTTTGTTTACAAGTCACGCCCGTTGTAACTAATGTGGATTAGCTGGTTCATTGCTGGTCACCTGAATCGCAAGACGGAAGCGAAGCAGGTTAAGTGGGGGAATCAGGATGGGTTTTGCTGAATGTGCCTGATGACATTCCATGATGAGACGGTGAGCAAAATGCGCTGATTGAAGCAGAGCAGCTGAGAAAAGGAATCTGCAGGGCGAGATTGATGCTGTGGCGTGGGATAAGGCAGTTGACCTGAGTGAGCGTTTGGAGATTGGCAAGGTGCGCGCTTTGTATTCACGTGTTTGGAAAGGTGGATGATAGGTAACAGCTTTACCAAATTCCGAACGCGAAGCTGGTGGACAGCTCGGATTGTTTTACCCGCACGAATCACTGGCTTCAAGTCCAGATCCACAGCAACGATAAAATTTACGAGCTGCAGGATTCCGGCCGCATACTGTGCATCTTTTATGATTTTAGGCGCATTAACTCGCTGGAATGGTTCAATGATAGCAGGCATGTTGGTAAGTGGATTCCCTATCAAACAGCGCGTTTTGACGAAGCACATAGATCTCGTTGCTATAATTGTTCGTCTTGGTCAGCCCATCAAGGGCATGAAGAAGTTCAAGGACCAGGTGAGTCAACCAGCGTGATGGTGAGGTGGGGTAGCTGATGGAATGTAGGAGGGCAACGAGCGCGAATTGATCACGGACCATGTGGACGTCTATCTTGGTGACAATTCCGGTGAATTCGTGCTCCTTGCGGCTTTTGACGACTACGGCCCGCAGTTCATTGGCAGGGAAGGCGAGGTCATTACTATAAAAAATGCGCTGATTGACAAGTACGGGAATTCGGTGTCACTCAAGACAAAGGAGTTTACGACCGAGTTGTTGTTTGAATCAGGGAATCATGCTCACAAGGTCCTCAAGGAGTGGTATGCTTACAACAAATCGCGCGTATTGTTGGGATCTTAGTTTTTCATAGGTTCGAGTCTCCCGGTTCGATTGCCGACACCCTGTGCCTTATGACGGGCACCTACAGCGCAGATAGCGTGCCCGATAGCTGGTTCACGGCCAACATCCCCACCAAGACCATCAAGGAGATCTTCACGGATGGAATTGGTGCTCATGGTGTGCGTAGTCAAGTCAAGGTGCGCGGGACTGTCTCATTCTACTCGGACCGCGAGTACACGTACCTCGCCTGCCCGAACCCGAATTGCAACAAGAAGGCTCAGGTAGCGGAGAGTGGAAACAGCACAGTGTGGTGGTGCACCCATTGCAAGACGGTCTATCTGGTGCCTTCAGAGAAGTGAGTACCCGGATTTGGCAATATGCGTGATTTTCTGACTACGTGCAGGTATCGTTTGAACATGCAGATGCGTGATACCATGGGTCTGAACAATTGGATCACAGCTTTCAATGGTGCCATGGAGCGCCTCTTTGGCGTGAGCACCCGGGAGTTGAACTCCATCCGCCGAGCTGACACGACCCAGCAATATGCGTGTATTCTGAATGCTGCCGCAGCCAAGAAGTATGTGATCACTATCCAAGTGAATACATTGGAGGGAGGTAACGTAAGTGGAATATGCGCGTTTTGGTGGCCAGTATTGACTTTGTATAGTTCGGCAAGCTGGAGGATTGGATTGCTATTGATTTCACGGAGGAGTGAGCGGCGGTCCAATTGCGTGTGTTGGACGAAGTCAAATAGGCAGTGATATAATACCTGGTGTTTTGTAAGAAAAGGCGCGCTTTGATGAATCAGAAGGGCATCATGAGCATCCATTGCATAGGGCATAGTACATTAGAACGCGCGGAGCATGAAACATAAAAAGGGATACTGGTTCACCTTCAACTGCATAGAAACCGGCGCAACTTGCACTCATAGACTATTTCTCCTCCTCCCCTTCCCTCCCTTTCCCTTTGATCCACCTCCTCATCGCTCGCAGCCCCTCCAGTTCCTCTTCCTCAGCCTGCGCCTTTTGGCGGAGACGTGCATTCTCGTACGGGAGAGCGGCATTGACGTTCTTGGAGTGGACCAGCTCCTTTTGGGTATCCCGCACGCGTTCCTCTTCTTGACATATCATGACCGACTGCACTGCGATGACTGTGTCTTGCTGGGCAAGCAGCGCCCGTTGGGTGGGAGCCAGGACGTGATGAGCAGAGCCGGCTTGCCAGTGGAAACCGAGGGGGGGAGGAGGGGGGTTGGGATCATCCTCACTGTCCTTGCTGTCACCAAGGTGCGTGCTGAGCGATGTAGACCATTCACTGTTCAAGGATGAGATGGGTGAAATTGGATATTAGCCTCCGACTAGGGTACTTGAACCCCTGGGTGGAGATCAGCAAAGGCTTGGGAGTTGCCGAGCGACTTACCAGTCTGGGGTACTCCCAACCGGCGCGTTTCGAGGAGCAAAGGGTCGTATAGCAAGGGCAGAAGAAGACTCATTGCGCGGATTGGAAGTAGAAGGGGAAAACAGAGAAAAGCTGATATGTCAGGTTAGCAAAGGGAGTGGCTTGAAGTACATATATGCTCACGTTCCAGTATGAGCCAACCCCGCATTAGCAGGCTGTGTGGCGGCCGGGGTCATAGGAGTCGTCAGAGTCATAGGAGTGGTTGGAGCCAGGGGCGTGTCTTGTACGGGGGCTGCCGTAGAAGATGATGGCACCGCTCTGGGACCAGGAGTGGGTGAGGGAGAAAAGAGAGAAAAACTGAAATAAATTGAGCAAATCGCACGTTTTGGAAAAAGTATATGCGTACGTGGGACAAAGCTTCACAGTGGCAGTAGCGGGCATAGGGGTGGCAGAAATGGTGCTAGGCGTGTGAGGTACAACCGGCGCGTTTCTAGCCGGTGTTGTTGGTACATTAGTGGTAGAACAAGAGGAAACAGGCATGTTTTGCGGGGTAGTCAAGTTGTGAGGAGTTGTTGGAACATTGCTTGGATTCATTTTCGTTACAGATGTGTAGCTACGAGCGGGAACAGGCGCGTTTTGCCATGTAGAGCGAGGAGGAAAGAGAAGTGAAGTAAACCCGTGGAGAGGTTAGATCGGATACGCATTCTACTCTCAAACCATGCACTTTGCTTTGGGACCGGATGAGGAAGTAGAAGGACCAGAAAGAGAAGGACCTGGGCGCGGAGTGGCAGGTGTAGAGCTGAGAAAAGATGAGAATAGTTCGTTGAGGAGACTGAGATGCTCACGGAGTATTCCCTCTCCCAACCGGCGTGGATGTCGTTGGGGTGGATGGGCCGATAGTGGGATGGTGGGCAGGGGCGGCGTAGACCAGCTGAGGTGGACGAGAGGGCAGGGCACCACGCGCCCCTTGAGTGGTCCACCCTCTGGTGGGCAGTTGGCTGCATATACAGTCAGAACTCGTTCGGAAAACTTCGTCCAAAACGCGCACCTTTCAGAACCACTTCTACCACGCCCACCACCACACCCTCGAGGGGTGACCCCTCTCATACCGGTTCTCCTCCACGACCCGCGCAACGTGCCTTGACCCCTTGGTGTAGCTGTCATGAGGTTTTCGCCGGGCATGTAAGTTGCTGGACTGTACAGCTGGTCAGTCAAGACGCGTATCGTGGAGAAGAAAACCTACTCCGCCCATTCACCCCATACCCCAGTTCTGCTATGCATATCGACCAGCTCGAGGTGGTTCATGGGGCGCGTATTGAAAGGATAGGAGGGAAGGATTGGTGGCAAGCCTGGAGACATGGGCAACAACGCGCCAAATGCTGGTGGCGGCGTCCTCGCAACCGGCGCATTGGTGGGGCCCGGTATGGTTGATTGGGAGAGTGGGGTTCGCAGCTGCCTCTTGCCTGGCATGCTGCACGGCTTGCTCAGCAAGGAAGTTCTCCACCCAAGCCTGCCATGGAGTCAGTGCATACACTCTCAAGACGCATGGATTGATGATGTACCAGTTGAGATCCCTTCATCTTCTCTTTATAGTCAGGGGGGATAAAGAATCCTCCTAATTGCTCCTCTCCGGGCGGCTCCGCCATGCTGAGACAATTTGCATGTCTTGATTCTCTACTTGATGGTGATCAGCAGAGGAACAGAGACAATCGGGGCGACGTGGAGACAGATCAATGGTAGAGATGGGAGACAGATCGACAGTAGAGAGGGGCGGCCCGCAACAGAAACAAAGTCCGGACGATGTTACCATAGACTGAAGCCGCGCGTTGTGAAGCATCCTGGAATCCATGAGATAAAACGACGCGCCGGTTGAATGAGAACAAGGTTCGTGCAATTTCAGAGGAGCCGAGAAGTGAAATGGAACGTTCAAGCAGTGGTGCTTGATCTTGACAATTTGCGTGCCAATGAAATGATCATTTGATCTCTTTGCTGGATTGCCATTTGCGCGGCTAGCAATTTTGATGTCAAGGCTTCGATTTCTTCCGTGAGCATTTCAATTTGCGCTAATTGATTGGCAGCGCGGTCTTGACAAGAGGCAAGGTGCTCAGTGAGAGTAGAGAGTGTGAGAGAAAGGGAGAGGGGGAGCGAGGACGTTGGTTGTGTCATGCCCGTGAGGAGCAGAGTAACAGTTGGCATGGGGCTGGCACTTGTACCACAGATTGGGGTATGTGTATAGCAGAGGCTAAAAGGGGATTTTCCATTTAGGCACAGTGTGGCAAAAATGCATGATTAAGGAAGCACGGGATTTTTATACGGGCTAAAATTGGTAATTCTAGAAGTCGTACTCCACCTCAGTGTCATCATCTTTGGGGATTGAGCCGACCTCGATGACATACACAGCATGGAGGGTGAAACCAACTGTGTAGGACCAGTCCTTCTTGGGGGAGCCCAAATTGCACGAGGTGCAATCGAAACGCTTCTTGATATGCATCTTGGAGAGAACCACATCTCCCTTTTTGAGATGGGATGCTGAGTACTGACGGAGATCTTTCTTGGGCTTCATACCATGCATGGCATCATAGACAGCCGTGAATTCCAAGGGTTGCTGTGAGGATATCAGAAGGCATAGCAAGGCACATGGATTTCATACAGCATCTTTGTTCTTCAAGGGGCTGAAAGGTGTCTGGAACTTGCTGGCAATGACTGTCCCAAACGGAATGAGGGAACCACCTGCAGTATGTTTTAAGGTATTTGGGTAAGGAAAGGCACACCTTGCTTGGGTTTGGAGTACATATTACAAATCTGAGCAGCACAATCACTGTTGGACTTGACAATTGGGTCCACACTCAGGTAAACCTGATCGGGCCATTTGTCATCCTCCTGCTGGAACTTCAGGGCAGCCACATGCCCAACCGCCCAGCAGAGGACTGGTATGTTATCATTCTGCACGAGGGAATTCATTATGTCAAGCCCCTGATTGAAACTGAAATGGAGATTGTCAGGGAAGAAGGTGATGTAATACACACTGTGCATGTTGTCAACAAATTTCCTCAATTTGGGAATGCAGACTTGAAGATCTTTGCTCAGGTGAGTGAGGTCAATACATGCATGTGTGTCCACCTGGGGATGAGTGGATACCAGCAAGGTCTTGGTCTTGGTCTCGGAATGGTTGCCATGGCTTTCAATATGCACAGGTTTGCCAAGGGAGGCCATTGCAGGAGCAGTGAAAACATCATTATCTGAGTCATTGGTGATGGGGATGACTTCATCTCCAGTGTCCAACCTGGTACTGGAAGGATTTTAGTATGAATGAGAGAGACACATGGTTTGGGGGAGGCTCACTGTCTGTGCTGCTGTGCAGCATCCATGTCTTTCATGGTGTGCAATGTGTTCCAAGGCATGGGGGGAATGGAAACCATAGATGTGTTTGCTGGTAAAAGGAATGCTGGATGTGGAAGTATTTATGCCATTTTGGTAAGGCTCATATTGCATGGCATGGTGCAGAAGCAGAAATAAACATCAATGAACTCTGAATAGAAATCAAGTGCCATGATGGCGCACAGTGTGGAGTGTGAGTCTCTCCAATCTTTCTATCTTGTTGCACAGATTGGAAGGCAGTGAGCAGTAAATTTTCTCAGTGTCAAAGTCTCTCAGAATAGCCAAGCCATGCAGAGTGTGTACTTGGGATAGCATGACATAGGCGCTTTGGGGTGATTGACACCTGGCCAGATCAACTATGGTGTGATCCAAGGAGCACCCTTGGCTCTTGTAATCTGTATAGGAATAAGCGGGTAGCAAAGGGAGGTGGGTTCTGGAGATCTGGTGGGGCAATTTGTTGCCTTGTATGTCATGGGTGTAGAGAACAAATGATCATTGCTGGGGTTGGATGGAGACCATGTGACAAGGAAGTCCACTATGCACCATTTGGCAGGAGGGAAAGGTGACATACATGGCTGTGGGATAGCAATGGTTATTGCTGTCCTTGTAGAATTGAACACCTGAGATGACCCCAGTTGCACCATTTACGAGATTCTTTCTGAGGGCCAGGTTCTCTGTAAACATGATGCACATGCCTTGAAAGAGTGGTAGGAAGCCTAGTGCATCTTGTGTTTGGCTGGTTGGCAGTTGCCACAAGCGTTGCTGTAACTTGCTGAGAATGGGGAGATTCTTCAAAGTGTCTCATGCAAAGTAGAGGTGTATGGGTTCCTGAAAGTTGTGCGTGTGTTATAGAGCAGCCAACATGTTCAGGGTGTCCCAAATTTCTTTGGTTGCCACAATAATAGGTGCATTTTTGAAAGTGAGCATAGCATCCAGCTCACTAATATGCAAATGGTGCAAAACACACATCTTGAGAACATCATGGTCTGACTATGTGTAGTTGATGCCTGAGCCACACTGTTTTGAAGTGTGCACAGAAGCTCCATTCCAAGCACACCCATTCCAAATTCTGTGTAACAGATTCATCCAGCATGGATCATCCAATTGGTGCATATTTTGGGACAAGAGGATGGCATTGGTCAACTGAGTAGCAGCCATGCTGGTGGGTGCACTGAGACAGAGTGCATCTTGAATGTGTAGCTTTGAGAATAGCAGCTGGAGAGAGCGGAGGACATGGCTCTTTCCAGTCCCTGCTCCTCTGCCCACAAAAAAAAGTAATTGCTTGTGATAATCAAAAGCCAAATGGTGTGCAATGACCTGGAGAGCAATACACTGCTCTGGATTGGATGATAGTTGTTGCTTTTGCAATACTTCTTTGAAAGCTGATTCAACCAGCATGACATGAGGATGAGGTGCCAAAATTAAAGGTATGTTAGTGGGTGACCGAACAATTGATGTCATGTGACTGATAGTAGCTGATGGGTCATGTGTGATTCCCATAGCTGAAGGCACAGTATCATCATCCAGCATGCCTTGTTGATGCCATTCCCAGAGTTCCTGGGCCCAGCAATGAAGATTTGCTTCATCTTCAAAATTCATTTCATGCACATTGCATGGAACACCAATGGAGGACAAGCCCATATAGTCTTCACTTGGCACTGAAAAACAGGAGTGAATTGAGTCAAGTGGATTAACTGTTTTTCCCTGCCTCATGAAAAACAGCACACCATGCACAGTGGAGAACATGCCATGATCACCAAGGTCATGGATCTCCACATTGTCAAGCATATCTTCATCTGGCACATATTCATCTTCCAGGAGATCCATTTCCTCCTCAGCATCAGTGTATAGCAAAATTTGTGCTGGCCATCTGCTGTGGGATTTATTGCATAGATTGTTGATTCAGAAGCATGGCTCTATACCATTCATCCAATTGGATTGGACCCTTTTACATTCAGGGCAATGTCAGGCCACAGATGTCAGGAACACAGGAAATAGATTGGAATTTTGCATGGTGTGATGATTGCTGGGGATGGCCATTGAGGAATGATCCATGCAAAAGGTGCCCTTTGCAAGAAGATAAATTGTCATCAGAGTCAGGGAGGAGCTCCTCATTCAAATAGGGATTGCCAGCTGAAGGAGTGGAGGTTTGCTTGTGACCTGGAATTACCTCCTTTTCTGACATGCAATGTAGTCATATACACAAAGCACGCTGAATGAAGATCGGAGGGGCAGAAAGTGTAATCATGATATTGATTTGCAGCAGAAGGCACACCTTGGGCAAAGGACAGAGCCAAAGAAGAAAGTTGACCTTTGGCATTCTCCATATCTGGTAAGTCATTTTTACAAACAACCCACACAGCATATTCCTCATTATCTCCTTTGTAGATATCACAAGCAATGGGATCTTGGGTTGGAATGGGGGCCTTTGGAGGGAGATCAGAAGGCAAGTCAAGCAAACCACGCAGTATGATATCCCAATATAGGCAACCAAACACATGGTTGCAGTAATGGTCACCCCTGCTGATGTAAAAGCTCATGATTTGTTGGTGAGACATTTCTTGTTGGGTGGAGAATTGATTCACAGTCTTCATCAGCAAGCTCTGGTCTTCAACATGCTCTGATGGGGTGTCAAGCTGCATGAATTTTTCTTTGTTCTTTTGAATGGCATACATGAGGGCAGTTATATCAGCATGAACTCAAAGTGTTGGCTTAGTGATATAGTCAGTGATGTAAATCAGTGTTAGGGCAACACAGGCTGACTAAGTCTGCTCACCTAAGAGTGCCAAGAGTCTAAGCAGGCAACAAGGAAGTGGAGTAGACCTGATGACTAAGACCTATCTACAGTATAGGTATCTGTGGATGATCCTAAGAGACCAAGTCTGAAGAGACAGTCCCCAGGCAGAGTAGGCCTTATATTTATACCTCTGTGGTGGAACCTGCTAGAACATCTTGCTTATTCAGCCTAGTCAGGTGATCAGGTCATATGACCAAGGATGAGGTCATATGAGGTCATGCACAGCCATGCACAGCAGGTCACCTGACCATCCAATCCTTCCAGCAGGTTCCAGCACATGCCAAGGTATACCAGCTACTTCCATGTCATAAAGGCTTAGTCATGTCTCTTGACCAAGCAATGAGCTGGTGCCCTG